GAYWGATCCAAGGGTGGAGATCCCTTCTTACCCTTCTCACCATAACTTCCATTCTCACTAGAACTCAACCCTACCTAATATATGAAAAAACAACATAACTAGTTTACCACTGGCAGCAATTGAACAGATGGCTGTCCAACAAGCTGGCCAGCAGATCTATTTCAATTGAATCAAGGACTCGGAGTCTTATGGACATCTTTCTAACATATGGCTGAAATCATATATTTAACAGGAAGATTTTACTACATTACTACCACAACAAGCTATTATGTACTTAAAAAAAACAAGATGTTGACTCATATTCTCCTATATTCGTAGTATCTCGTGGGCGAAATCGTTGATATGGGTATCTAGAAATAACAGGAAAAACAGGAGCTTTAGACAATAAAAAAGAGTATATGTTCCTCTGGTTTTAGTCAAAAAGCTTTACTAGATACTAATGTTGCAATTTCTATTTTTCTCAGCAATGTGTTGATTGCCTGAGTTCATCCCTTTGTTTTGATGCTTATCTATTGATGTTCATGTGTAAAAAACAGGCTTCATAGTTCATACTCTTTTCTTTCTCAATCAATCAGTCAATCCCTATTCTTTGTTATCACTAGGTTACGAGTGCATAGATGCTAGGTTAGCTCACCTAGCTTTGTGAACGATTGACGATGAACGATTGCAGTCTTGAAAGATTTCATTTCACAGTTGCCACTTGCACGATTGACGCTCGAATTCTTGACTGATTGAACGATTAGATTCTTGACTGTTCGGTTCTCGTTTTCTGTTAAGACCTATATGGATATAGTTGTCTGTATTGATATAGTTGTCTGAATATTAACTGATAAGTTGTTGTTCGGTTGTTGTGCTGAATAAGCGGTCTGAATGTCAGAAATGACCATTTTACCCAGTCTTATTTTTGTCTTGAGACATGTCTATTTACTTCAAATTCTGTTGTTTGTTTGTTTTCTTCACTATTCAAAACAACAAATGTTATTAAAAATGACTGGGCTGGGTTTGTTTTGACCTTCTTTAGCAGTCATAATAATGCACTTTTGGTTTGGTTCAGCCTGTTTCAAATGAAAGCAGCAGCTAAAAAACTCGACAGAAGGTAGCATAGTGAGGAAATTGAACAGAAACTTAAAAATCGGACTTCTTGGTCGATTTACCCATTTGAAGAATCGAACAGAAACGTAAAAAACCAAAATTCCAAGAAGAAACAAAATCATAGCACATCATAGGGGTTGTTCGGTAAGCTATTACAAAATCATAGCGCATCAAAAGAAGAAACAAAAGATTTCAGAACAGGGTAGCACAGTGAGGAAATCAGAAACAGAAGCACAGTTACAAATCAAACAGAAAGACTCGACAGAAGGTAGCACAGTGAGGAAATCGAACAGAAACGTAAAAATCGGACTTCTTGGTCGATTTACCCATTTGAAGAATCGAAGCACAGTGAGCAGGAGCAATCGACGAGGAGAACATACCTGTGTGAAGAACGATGGAGCAGAAGCAATCGAAGCACAGTGAGCAGGAGCAGAAGTCGAGGTCTCTATGGTGGTAGGGTTTAACGTGAGTCGTTGGGGAGAGGTTAAGCTGGAGAAAATTAGCGGAGTTTATTATGTGGGGTGTTTGGGATTGCTTATTTAAAACAACTTATGTTTTTTTGTAAAAGTGTTTATTAACTTATGTGGTATTAAATTAGAGTTTTGTAAAAAATGTTTGGATTAGCTTATAACGATACCAAAAAGCAATAAGTTGATAAGTTGGTTTTTAGTGTTTGGCAAATTTGGCTTATAGATGTAAAATTACCAAAAAGGTCCTCCAATCAATCTCCAGTGTTCATCGTCTCCATCCTCACTCCAAACCCTATTTTCTCCAGATTCCTCTCCATCCTCATCACTCCAACCCTATTTTCTCCAGATTCCTCTCTAGTGTTCATCCGTGTTTGCACCCGCCGTGAAAGAGGTTGTCATCGCGATCTCCTGTGAGTGGTTTCTCCCCGAGAACCTCTGCATCGGCGAGTTTCTTGGCACCGATTTCCGTCTCCAAGACGACATCCGTCTCCAAGATGACATTCGATTCGATTTCACAGATCGATAAGAGATCGATTTGGAGAAGACGTACCTGGAGAAGATCGATGAGAAGAGATCGATTTTGGAGAAACTTGTAACYTGGAGATGATCGATTGTTGGAGAARACGTGATTTGTTGGAGAAGAGATCGATGAGAAGAGATCTGATCGATTTGGAGAAGACAGAGATCGATTTGGGGGTGTTTATTAGACAGGGTTAAAATGGTAAAATGGTAATAAGTCAATTTTCATAAGTCAGTATGGATTAACTTATAAAAAACGACTTATTACCGGTTTGGTACCGGTATAAGCACTTTTTTTTTTTTTACCCAAACACTCCGAAATGACTTATCTCCGTTACCAAACTGAAATAAGTCAATAAGTCACTTTAAAAAGCTTTCCCAAACACCCCCTAAGAGAGAGGTTTTCTAGCCAGGTGAAACAGCTTACTTAGAGGTGCATTGGTTACGCTGGAGAGGACATGATACAACAGAAATCCTGTTTCATGTTTGGCATAAATTTTATGTAAAACAGACTGAAACAAAGTGGAACAGACCTGTTTTACCCTTATCACATGGAACAAGATGAAATAAGGTAGAACAGATTTATCTATATCTATACTACCTTATTAAGCAAATTCATTAAAAGTCTTAAAGTCTTAAAATTATAAATACCTAAAATATCCTTATCTTCTATCTATACTACATCTAATACATTTTGTACTACATTTTAATGCATAAAACCTCTATCACATTGATAACAAGCCTCACTCTCTCTCTCTCTCTCTCTCTCTCTCTCTCTCTCTCTCTCTCTCTCTCTCTCCGCCACTTCGTCCAACTCCCTATGTGCCTCTTCATCCTCCCAAATCAGACTTCCAATGTGCTTTAATCCCTTTCCAAGGTGACGATTGAAGTTTCTATTGTTTTATTTCACTTCCCAAATCGAGCTTACGTTCATGTTTAAACCCTAATGAACCAAATCGACGTCTGCTTTTGTTTTCTTCTTTCAAATCGACACCTTCAACTTGACGTTTGGTTCTGTTCTCTTCATCTTGTGATGTTYTTTTCTTTCTTTTCCCTCAAAACCCTTTGCAGATTAATACAAAAGGTAGTCAAGAAGAATCATACCTTTCATTTGTGGGTTTATTTTTTTCTTATTAAACCCTAATCGTACTCTCAGTTTTAAAATTGGTTTGATTTCTGCTTTGAGTTTCTTAATTTCATTCTGGTTTGTAAGAATCATCATCAAGAAGAAGAAGAGGGTGACGAACTTTTAATCTCGAGAACCATTGATGCTTCCTTAAAGAAAGCCATATCAATCTGAAGAGATAATATTATATCTTCAGGTAAGATTTTACTTGTTTTAGGTTTTTGGTTTGGTTTGGTTTGAATTTTATCTTAAATTGATGAGATGAAATCTTGGTTTGATTTCAAGCAAAGTTTAAAATTGGTTTGATTTCTTCTTTGAATTTCTTAATTTCATTCTGTTTGAGTTTATTAATTTCATTTTGTGTAARAATCATCATCATTAAGAAGAAGAAGAGGATGATGAAGATTTAATCTTGAGAACCACTGATGGTGCTTCCATAGTTGAAATTGAACTTCTTAGTTGACACATCAATTAACAATAAGGTCAATAGACATTGAATGTTGCACATATCTATTTGTGGATTTTTATGCAATTTCTTTTTTTTTTTCAAACCCATTTTATTGTAACATCATTTGAATACAGATGATTCTGAAAATAGCGATATTCGAGAGGGGTCTGATAATCACGAAAACAACACTTTAACTGGTCGATGACATTGGCTTCTGAATAGTTGAGAAACATTTACTGTTTCCATTATAGGAGCTGAACTTTCATTTGAGTTGCTTGTAGTTGTTATCATGATTGACATTTGGTRACCAGGTGAAGATGAGATTTTGTTGTTCTTTCTTAGAGCGGAATTGTTATTTATTAGTTTATTTGATTTTCAAGTTCTTTTTTCAACCATCATATACTTTAACCCTAAATTTCTCAACGACTTAGGAATTCATTTGCTCTTGGCATATGTTTGTCTTATATTACAGCCGAGGTTGTGGCAGGGTCAGCARCATGGCTTGGCAGAGGCCTTTCATGTGTTTGTGCTCAGAGAAGAGAAGATGATTCTCGCACACCATTTGATTTGACCACTGCCCAGGTCGTGTCTTAACCCAACTAATATGACAAATGCATTTGATTTGTTTGTAATATTTATACCCATAAGGCTATGCTTACTGCTTGATATTCTTGTTAGATTTTCTGTGAACACAATGAACTATGACCTAATATTAAGCTCTCAATGTTCTATCAATAGTGTTTGTTCTTGTGTCTAGAATTGCAGCTCTCATATGGAGACAAAATGTTCTCATCTTTATGGAAATGTTTAACCACTTCCTACTGTAGATAAGAATATTAATTGTGCCTGTTTGAAGTTCGTTGCGTTCTATCTTGGGAATTGTTAACTTTTCTCCGTCTTTGTGGTTGTTAGGACAGGGTGGGACTGGGGAATGGACGCATGGTAGATTTTATGTTTGAAGTCATCTAGACATACATACTTGATTCATTTGTATAAAGTGGAATAACAGCTTAACTGTGCTTCCAGTTTGCAGATTGCAGGAAAAGATAGACATTTGTATAAAATGGAATAACATGAGTAGAAGACGAAAGTTTCATTTGTATAAAGTGGAATAACAGCTTCTTGTTTAAAATATTGTGTGTTTGTGGCAACATATAATTATTCTTCACTTCACTTTTCCTAATTTCTGCTATGACATGTTTCTTTATTCCTTTCCCTTTCTTTCTATATGTCACTGTTGCTATGTAAACAGACAATACATGAGTAGAAGACGAATTTTTCTCTTAATTTTAAGCTTGGTTATTAGTGTAGCATTTGATCCGAGTTTTTGTTATTAACTTTTGATTACATCTTTTATTGTACTTCATATGCACAAGAGTTATCTGAGCTACAATTGTATGTCCTCCAGAGGTGATCCRGAGCATGTTTTAGACRTGGATGGCCTTTGGCAGCTTATTTGTGGAACCTTTAAAGGTATGCAATCCATGTTTGCATAACTTAAGTCATTTTATCTTATTCCTATTGAGATTGCTATCTTTTGGTGTTTTGGGAACARTAAAAAAACTATTATTAAAATTGCAAGTGAATCTAATTGGTTACTTATTGATGGATGAATCTACTTGGTTCTAACATTTTTATTGTGTATATGCATCACAGTAGTAAGTTGTTATTTTCTCATTTACACTAAAACCATTTATTAATGTTGAGAATAGTTAAAACTTAGCTTCTTGTGACCTCAAAAGCATAACTGCAGTTATATTTGGTGAACTGTAAGGAGCCGTTTACCAAACACTTAACCCGGTAAGTGCTTGCCGGTAAAATTTAACACTATTATTTACTTGTCGGGTAAGATTTTAGTCCAGTAAAACGACATCGTATACAATAATTTACTCAGTAAGCGCTTACCGTGGTAAGACTCTTGGTCCTTGCTCGCTCTTTCCGGATAAGATTTTCGGTCCTTACCATATTCATCCGGTGAGGTGGTATAGCGTTTACCTGGGTAAGCGTTTGGTAAACAGCCCCTAAGTACCATATGGAAGTGGTTGGCTATGGTTTATTCGATCCAACAATATTAAAGTCTTTTGTTGCCCCTTACCGTCAATGTTAATCCCATGTGTATAACAATTTGGTCATTTTGTGCAAGGCTACTCAAGGAATACACCTGTCTGATTGCATAAATAAAAGCCCAAATCAAGATGGTAAGTTCACTTCAAAGCGAACTCTATGAGATGACTGGATTTTTGAACATGATGTTTTTGGTGTTACTCGGAAGTTTTGTGAAGGACGGAAGAGTTGTTACAACTGCTATCGGAGTAATTCTGTTAAGTTATCGAGTCAAAAATAAGAATTCAAACTTTTAAATATGTTTAGATCAGATTTGTCTATTTGGTTTGTTGTTGAAATATATTGAATTATTCGAGTTATTAATCATAAACAATTGTCTTTAAACTAATTTTCTTACCGAGAATTTGTATCTTAGATCTTTAAATTTTGTTTATCTTTTTTAGAGCATTCTCAATTCGTCTAGGTGCTTTTGATTTGAATTGATTTTAAAGATTTCTTAGATTTTTTGGTTGATTTCTATGTATTTTTTAGGTTTTTTTTAGATTTTTTTGGAGAGACTTTTTTCATTTTTTCCATTTATGTTACATGTATTTTCTAATATCTTCTAACACCATTTCATACCGCAAAAGAGTTCAACTTGAGAAAATTGGTTGAGCGGTTGCACGAGACTTCCCTTCGACCGCATCTTGAAGTTTTGTTATTGCACTATGAGCGACACCAAACCATTGTTTTTGCCATCTCTCATGTTTTATAGCTCTATTTGACCTTTTTTCATTGCATATTGTTACAACATTGCCTTCACAAACTTACGTTTGACATTACTTTGAAATTTATCCCGCTGCATTGCGCGGGTATACAACTAGTATTTTATTAATATAACTTCAAAATAAAACTTAATTATCTTCTAAAACATCAAATATGCCTCTCTTTTAAATTTTATTTATTTTTTAAATTTTATTTATTGTATTTTATGTTTCTTAAACTTTCATTTTATTGTGCTCAAAATGTTCTTTGTATACGGTTTCTATATTTTTATTAATTTATGTAATTTAATATATATTAATAATAAAAAAATAATGTAGAAAAAGAGATAAAAATAAAAATAGAAAACCACATAAACTTTTTATTTGGTGTCATTTTAATTGTTTTGACGAAAACTTCAAATGATATATTTTGTTATAAAAATAATTATTCTATTATAATTTAATAAATTACATAAATTGTTTTCTTATTTTATCACCATCAAATGTATTGCGTAAGGTTCACGCATGTAATTCGTTGTTTTCGATGAATTTTGTATGTTTTACCTTGATCAGAGTAGCAAATATTCGATTTTGATCTTACAGGAGTGATTGTACAGGTAATAGGTGAATTATTTGGTGGTAGTAGTTTTTTCTTCTTAGTATGGAATGCATATAGATTTGCTTCGATAATGAATTCTTGATGCTTATATTATATTTAATTTTTTCATATATCATTAGTTGATTATAAATCATGTATTTATGCAAATGTATTTTTGCAAGTAGTAGTGGTTTGATGTAAGTTATACTTTGCACACCTTATTTGTTAACATTTATATTGATTATTTAGTGGAAAAAAAACACTAAACAGCTGACTGGGGGTAATTGGTCATTTTAGCCAGTTCTGTCCAGTCATGTCATGTCTTACCAAACGCTGAACAGCTGTCATATTATGTCCTGTCCTGTCTTGTTCTGTCATGTCCTATCATGTTTTGTCTGTGTGCCAAACGCACCCTTACGGAACACATACGGTTGTCCAAAAACCAAATTATCCCGAATCCGAACCGAAAATAAGGTAGTTATGTAAAACCCGAATATCCCGAAATCCGAAAATCTGAAAACTAACTTTTTGGGGAAAATTTAGGTCTGGATTGGGTTTGATATTTGGCCGTCGGTCTGTCTGAAAACCCGAAATACATACATATATATTTTAAATACTATATAAATATACTTATTTATCTAATTATCTTTTGAAAATTCTAAAAATCTTAGTCGGTCGTGTTTTTTGTTAATTTCTAAGCATACTATCGATTTATTAATCCTCTAAACCGATTGAATTCATCGTCAAATACGATTGGGCATATATATTTTTTGCATTATAACTAATTTGAACCCGACCAACCTGAAGCAATCCGAAACCCAAAATCCAAAAACTGGGGCTTGATTTCCATATCTGAAATTCGATCATATTTTTTTATTTTCGCACCCAAACCCGCCCGATCCGCCCAATGCACGCACCTACTTCTAACCCAATAGTTTGGGTTTTAATGCGTTGATGGAGGATCGTGTAACGATAGAAGTTACGGCGATAGGCGAAACTTGATCATTTTTTATGTTAACATGTTTCATGAATTGTGTTTATCCAATGTTCGAAAAGGCTCACCACAACAACCTGATGGCGCACCATGACTTAAGACTTGTGTCTCACATCACGTTATGTCTGAGGCACGCCATGGCGTAGTGCATGGTTTTGATTACACGACATTTTATTTTACTTATCTTTTTAATGTCTTATTTGTTATTTTTTAATATATAATTTAATTTAAATTGCTTAATATCATTGATTTATTGAGTAATAGTATAAAACATACGTTTATGTATATAATTAGATATTTGTCGCCTTAAATCACGCGTTAAAAACGCCGCCACCTCAATGCGTTAAAAATGCAGCCACCTCGTCGTGGCTTTGTAATATTTTTTTTTGTAAACTTTGGCTATTTTGGGAAATGTAAAGTGTCTAAAAAGTGAAAGTCGTTTTATAAAGTGGCTATTTGCATAAAATTCCCGAATTGATTTGGTATACCGTATTACTGTTGATCTTAAATTAAAATTGATCTAATGATGGAGATCCCTTCGTACCCGTCTCACCATGACTTTCATTCTCACCGGAACTCAACCATGTATGTGTTTGTATCAAAGAGAGCATCTCGAAGGGGTTGTTCTGTTATTTTTCATTAAGTCTGTAAGAATTAATCTGATTGTAGGGTGTTTGAGATTGCTTATAAAAGCTGCTTTTTAACTTATTTCAATCTGGCACCGGTGATAAACTGTTTTATGGTGTTTGGATAAGAAAAAAAAACTGCTTATACCAGTGCCAAACCGGTAATAAGCTGTTTTTGATAAGTTAATCCTTCATGACTTATGAAAAACTACTTATTACCAGTTTACAATTTTAACCATGTTTTATTTAACTCCGATTTAATACCACATAAGTTAATAAACAGTTTTACAAAAAAACATAAGTTGTTTTAAATAAGCAATCCCAAACACCCCCTAAATCATTCTAACTATAATAAGTTGATAATCACTTTTGTAGAAAAGATGTCAGATTTAAAAAACAAAATTACAGGCATACCTTGGTACTGATGAACGTAAGGTCGAAAAGACGAAAACAACACTAGATCAGATAGTATTGCCACAGAGAGAGAGAGAGAGAGAAAGATATTTGGTAATCGTATTTTTAGAGAAGTTAAAACTAAGAATATGCTTATTGCGACAGTTTCGACAGTCTGTGATTCCTTCACAGAAGTATTGATGCAAGAAGACTAATGGGAAGGAGAAAGAAGGGAAAATAAGCAAGTTGCACAACTGCTATTTGTGTAATGTCTAGGTGGCTTATCTATAAATATGCCACCTAGACATTACATAAGTATCACTTACGCAACTTGCTTAATATCTAATCTTTCCAATTATTTTATTGGAAAAAATTAGTTATGCAAGTTGTGTAAGTACCACCTTCACATTTTTCAGCTGTCTCGGTCACATTGTTGAAAACGTGGTGGCTATAAAGTGAAGTGAGGATTTACATTAGAAAAATCATATAAAATAATATTTTATTATAAAAGTTCTCACAGTTATCATAATATTAAGGGTTCTCATTTAATTATGCTCATTTTTTGTATATATTCTTATCGTTTATCGTCGTCACTCATTATCGTTTGATTGCACACACTATTTCTCTGGTAACTTTTTAATATCTCATACTCTCCAGTTTCTTTTCAATATTCTTGAAAGTTTAAGAAAAGACCAACAAATCTTTTATTCCTCTCGTGTATATTTATATCTATATTATATTATAAATCATTTGACAAAAACTCGTAAAATGCATTTTTTATGCGTAAAATACTGTTTATTAATGTATATTACTTAAAACTCAATATTACAAGTAGATT